TTTCAGTGAATTTACTCGAAAGTTAGTTTTACCCCTTATGAGAAACTTTCAATCATTCCCAATTCCCTGTCAGTAAGACCTTTGAAACCTTTAGATATGCTTAACATATCGTCAAAAATAGCCTTGGACATGACTATTTTCGCTCTCGCCACATAAGAAAGTGAACTGATCAAAGGGTCTACTGCTAAAGGACACCACATTCTAGTGGATTTTTTGCATTACAGATAAAGAGTGGTAAATGGCTCATCAGGTTAGAGTTAAACCCATTTTTTCAGTGAGAATATCAGTAAAAACAGAAACATTTGTAAACACCGACCAACTCCCTAACAGCCGGTTCCTACAGGCTCATCTACATCATCAATGTAACATGTGCTCTGCTTAGATGAGGTAACCACAAATGACCCTTCGTCAGTTCGGTGATGACTCAGAGAGCGCAATTGCGGTTCCAATGACTGTAACTTGGATAGAGATACCCCGGCGGCCCAGATATCACAATTACTCAGATTATATGAGAAGAGGAGTCACTGCCGATCGACATATGGTGAACGAATGACCTTCTATTTTGATATGGCCAGTGAGGAAGTAATATCGGCCGATTTCTCGTCGAGAGAGCACTTCGCTTCAAAAATAAAGAGCATGTGTTCATCTCTCAGACCTTTCAATTCCATACCAATACAATGTTCTTTGATGCTGTTCAGGCCAGAGATTCCCCTGCAGCCGATCATACGCCTGGTATCTCACATCATATTAATCTTGTCAGGTATCGCACAAGCTCACGTTGTGTCACACAATTTGGGTTCCATAAGATGATCCTTTAAGATCCAGAATGTCGTGCTAGTAGAATATAATAGCATTCCAATGAAAATTTATTCATTCCTAGGTTTTATGCCATTTTGTTCTGCCTCAATTACTGTTACTCTCCATTTCCTTACGCTCAAGAATGAATTGGGCAGATCCAGTGCAGAGAGCATTCGTTGTAGTAAAAAGAAACTTCAGTAGTATATAATTATTGTTCTGCTTTGCAAAGTCCAGAACGGATTAGTGATTAATGGAGCCTTGGTATGACGTCAATATAGTTGAATGCTGCCATTGATAGCTTCCACAACCGTTATCAAGTGCATAGCGATGGACTTACACCAACCAAACCAGAGTACAGCGATACGGTATAAAATATGAGTGTTACCAACAAATTCTAATCAATTAAATTCAATTCGATTTTATTTGTGTAGGCCAATTTCTAACAGAAGTTAATCCAGGACACTTTTCAAAAATAGAGAAGATCTAAGACGTAACTAACTTATAAATTTGGAAAATTGAACTAACGGCAATAGCTACCTTAGTCTGGTTTATATTGAAAATACTTAGTAAGTTCACACTATTTTGTAAAATAAATGATCCAAATTGGGAATTGAATTGAATTGAATTTGTTGGTAACACTCATCATTTATAGTTCGGGACTGTTTGTTGGACACAGCAAACATTGTGAAGCTATACATTTTACTTTTACGTAAGTAACATGTTCCGTTCTGGACTTTGCAACAGAATATTTTTAGTACTTTTACTAAAAGCTCTGACTACTTGCCCAATCACTGGAGAGAGGTACAGTAATTGAGGCAGAAAATGCAAAAAGAAATTTCATGGAGCTATTTCACAGCAGACATTAGCAGAGGTGGAGCCTCGACAAGATTAATGATCCTCCCAGATCAGGCGGTGATCGGTGCGACGGGATCCTCTGGCCTGAGCCAGCAATCAAGAACTGTTCTGGATCGAACGGTCTGAGCCCACCTTTGAGAGCAGCCATGACATCGGAGGTCTATGGAGATTTAAGGTGAGGGCCAGTACTACATTACATCACTTCACCACTGCAGTCACAGTCATTTGATTCTAAGAGCATGTTTATGATGTTAAAGCCTGTAGGAACCCTTTAATGTTCTGTTTAACTGTTTTTTTTTACTGTATCTCACTGAAAAATGGGTTTAACTTAACCTGATGAGCCATCTCTACCACTCGGTTTAGGTCTGTAATGCAAAAAAATCCACTAGATGTTGTGTCTTTAAGCAGTAGACCCTTTATCAGTTCACTTTCTTATAGGAAGTCAACAAAATAGTCAGTCCAAGCTATTTTTGACATGTTGACATATTAAAGGTTCAAAGGTCTTACTGGACAGAATGAATGACTTGAAAGTCTCATAAGGGTAAAACTAACTTTTGTCATATTCACTGAAA